GACAATGGTGGGCTAATGGAAAGATATTGAGACATCCTGGCTCTCAAGACAAGAGAGGATTTTTTCCACACTCTAAATAAATATGTATCATCACAGACTGAAGGAAAAAGTATTTTAAAAGCAGGCTTGCAATTGAGGTTTTCTTCCAGAAACTGAGGGACAGTCATTTGGCCAGTAATGTCAGCGAAACGCTGGCTTGTCCCGATGGCTAGAGGTACACTGGGAAACTGTTCAAAGGCAATCGGTAACTTGTATTAGAAAGGGGATTTTATCTTATATGGAAGTGTAAAGCCTAAGGTTGCATCTTTTTTATTATACAAGTTACACAGTAATGTTTACTCTCCCTTACTATTTCATCTTTGAATCTGTGGCTTTTCTATTAAATCAACCTTTAGTTTATTTTTACTCCAAGTAAACTGTGTTCCCCCAAAGTCAACTGATAACGGAGGGGCTAGATTCATACCTTCAGGGGTGATGAACCAGAGAGGAACAATCAGAGGTCTGGTAGTTAAGAACTCAGGGAGGATGGATTTGGGGAGACTTGGGAATAGAAGGGCTGTTGGTGTCACCCTGCAAGAAGTAACTAGGCTAGTAGAAGACAGGGTGAGACTTTGTGCTTGTGAGCAGGTGGCTTGTGTCAGGGATCTGAGCCATAGTAGCACAGCATTAAGGGACCCCAAGGTTATGGGGCAGGTGATAACAGAACCCCTAACTAGTGGGTGATCCTTAAAACCATCACAAAAATAGTGTAACATTATCAGTGAAATAAGTACAAGAGTTAAATATATTTATATTTTTTAAATCATCCCATTCTAGCAAACATTTCAGAACAGATCCTTAGTTTTGTCCAAGTCCTTTTCACGCTACTTTTGCTGTGATACAAAGAATTTAAAATGACCTCAGACAGCTTTACCCCAAATGCTTTTCCCACCACTTCAAGTGGAGTATCATGTACAAGGGGAGACCATAGCACACAGCACTTCAGCTGATCCGCTAACAATGGAACATTCCAACTCAGTGTCATTTAGAATGGCTCCCAAAAAAGCCAAGTACATGCAATGTTGTAGCTGAGATTTTACAAAGTCAAGGAATTTGGTGGTTCCCATAGCAGTCAAACCAGTCCACATACATAGTATGTTCTATTCTAGTCACATGTTAATTTATTCTTTAAGGTTAAAAATTAAATTACAGCTGTTGTGGGAACGATAACTTTGAATTTCCTGGTACTTTCCTAACCTTTGTATGTGTAAAACTTAAACCACAATGTTATTAAGGTAAGTCATCAAACTATTCAAGGACACTAACAATATTTGTTGAGGACAGAATAAGCAGTCTTATTACCCTCCCAAAGTTTAAAAACAATCGTTCTGTGGGCACATTAAAAAAAAATAAATAAATAAAAAAAAAATCACACATTCAAAGTTCCAGCAGAATGGTTCTAGTTTGGAAAGTTAACTAGAAATGGTTTAAGGTCAGGATGCATTTTTCCAATCATTTTTTCAATTGATGTAGCTTAATATGATTGAAAAAGCCCCATCAATATGCATTTGAAATAGCATTAGCTGGCCCTATTTTAGTCTAGGGTGAAGTCTTTATACATTTTTAGAAGGTAATATTTGATTTAGTTCTAGAGTTATACTTCATTCCTCCCAATTACCAATAAAATAAATCAATAAAGTAAACCTTTCATCTAACCTATGTTCCTAAGAAACAGGATAAGAATTGTTCAATATTTCTTACCTCATGTCCTTTACCCTTAAATTTTGCATTATCAAATACATGTCGCAAGGCTGGAAGTCCTCTCTCTGAAATTAACCTGTGAATATGAAAAATGTCCTGAGTTAATATGGTTTTCAACTTTTTTTTTTTAAACAGTTATTCAACTAGAAATTCTAAAGCTTAATATTTGTGATATTTTTATTAGGGCTGTCGATTAATTACAGTTAACTCACGCGATTAACTCAAAAAAATTTAATCGCAATTATTCGCAGTTTTAATCGCACAGTGAATAAATTTCAATTGGTATTCTATTGTTTAACAGTGAGATTAATCGCACTGTTAAACAATAGAATACCAATTGAAATTTATTAAATATTTTGGATGTTTTTCTACTTTTTCAAATATATTGATTTCAGTTACAACACAGAATACAAAGTGTACAGTATTCACTTCATATTATTTTTATTACAAATATTTGCACTGTAAAAATGATAAAAAATAGTATTTTTCAATTCGCTTCATACAAGTACTGTAGTGCAAACCCTTTATCGTGAAAGCGCAACTTGCAAATGTAGATTTTTTTTTGGTTACATAACTGCACTCAAAAACAAAACAATGTAAAACTTCAGAGCCTACAAGTCCACTCAGTCCTACTTCTTGTTCAGCCAATCACTAAGAGAAACAAGTTTGTTTACATTTATGGGAGATAATGCTGCCCCCTTCTTATTTACAATGTCACCTAAAAGTGAGAACAGACATTCGCATGGCACTTTTGTAGCCGGCATTGTAAGTTATTTACGTGAGATATGCTAAACATTCATATGCCTCAATCAGGATCAGGGCCCACATTGTACAGTGCCTAATATGAACACGTAATAAGAAACAGTCCCGGCCCTAACAATTTACGGTCTATGTGGAAGAGAGAGGACGGCCAGTGCTAGTATACAGATAACCAAAAGGTTAAAATTGAATGCTTCCAAGACACCAAACTATGATATCCTAGAATAACATTTAGTATACTTAAAAGACACATCTTCACAATATAGGGATTCAGCTCTGTTTACTGTCCCACTTAAAAATCAGTTTTGCATGCAAAAGGAAATAATTTTCTACTCCTTAACAATGCTGCCTAACTCCTACAAATATAATCTCAAGAGCAAGAGTTTGTATATCTATAAAAATCAGATTTTACTGCACTTCACAAGACTGTGGATAATACCCGGAAAATATCAACAGTCTGAAGTCTCATTTTGAAGGATTTCCCAATTAAAAAAAAAAAAGACAGAAGAAATGTTCCTGAGGCAGGCTGAAATTTGAAGTAATCTGAAGGACGGACAAAAGATATTATATAGACAAAAATGCACTCTCATATACGGCACTTTACCAATAAAAGAGTTTTCATGTCCCAAAGCGCTTACAATAAAAGTATGACTTAGGATAACAGCACTATAAAGGTAAATGAAGAACAAAAGGATCAGGTACATTCCGCAACAATAAGCTAAATATATTCATCTCTAACATCCACAACCTAAAACTTGGTAATGACCAAGTGGGTAATGTTGAAACAGATAAACTCCCTAAATCAATTTCTGCCAGGCAGCCACACAAAGATTATTATTTTTTTAAACACTGAAATCATCACCTGTACATAGGAACATTGCGCAACAAATACCTTTGAGCATCTAATTTAGGTATCGGCCTTTTAACTGCTTTCTGTGTAGACACAGTAGAATCCTTCGTTTGAGATGGTTTATTTCCATCTTGCTCTGACAAATAGAACACAACATACTATAAATCTATAATGCAATGATACCAACTATCATTACTCAAATTAATGTTTTATACATCTTTATGTTCTACTCATATCTCCCTGGCTCTACCAGTTACCAGTTTTCCTCTGAATGTTTACAGTGCACATTCTGTATATGTTACTGTGAATAACTGATCCCTGTATGTTCTCTCCTTCCCTTCCCCCCAAATCCACTTTATAAAAAAGTGTTTAAAAAGAAAAAGGAATATTCTTGATATCTTAAAAGAATGATCTTTTCTGGCAAATAATAAAACTATTTCCCATCTTAATGAAAAGCTCTACTTTTAAAATGTGTACCTTAGTTTGTTAATTGTAACCAACAATACATTGTGTGTGCTTTAACAGCAAAAATCAAGGCTATAAATTATAACTATGGTGTCAGGAGTCCTTCAGGATTTTTTTTTTGGGGGGGGGGGGGGGGGATGAGGAGGGGAAGAGAGGAAGAGTTAGCTCCAACAACAAAATAAGGGTAACTAGACTAAGGCCTGATTGTGCAAAGATGTACACACATGCTTAACTTTACACAATGCATAATCCTATTTTCTTTAACAGTGCGTAAAGTTAAGCATGTATTAAGAGTAAGTCTTAAGTGCTCTCAGGATAAAGCCGTGTGAAGCTGGTATCTAGTTAGGGAGGCAAAACTTTCTCAAGTGCCCTAAGCCAGTGTTTCCCAAACTTGGGACACCGCTTGTGTAGGGAAAGCCCCTGGCGGGCCGGGCTGGTTTGTTTACCTGCCGCAGCGGCGGCCAGCACATCCCTCAGCCCGCACCGCTCCCATTGGCCTGGAGCAGCGAACCGCGGCCAGTGGGAGCCGCGATCAGCCGGACCTGCGGACGCGGCAGGTAAACAAACCAGCCCGGCCCACCAGGGGCTTTCCCTACACAAGCGGCGTCCCAAGTTTGGGAAACACTGCCCTAAGCCAATGGTATTCAAACTTTTTTCATTTGCAGACCAGTAACAAATTTCGAATGGAGGTGTGGACCCTTTTGGAAATCTTAGACATAGTCTGTAGACCCCCACTGCCCTAAACAGATGGTGATTAGTTCAAAACTGAATGAAAAGTAGGGATGCTGACCAGAGCCACCTGAATAATGGCCATGCCACTTACATTTTAGAGAGTTATAGTAGAATAACCAACAAAGCAATACTTTAAGGCAGATCCATGAACAAAAACCCGCTGATTTCAACAGGACTATGTGGTCACGGGGTCCATCCTTACAGTTCTCATCACAAGACTAGGGTCAATGTTAATCAGATTTATTACAGTAATACTTAAGGGCCAACCAAGAACGGTGCCCCATTATTGTAGGCACTGTACAATCTGTACACAAGTTCTTATATTACATGCTTTATTCTCTGAAGTTCAGAAAATTCAAGCGTTAGGAAACTCATTTTCACATATCAACGTTAGTGTGCTTATCCAAACCAATCTATTCCTAATCAATAAGTGTTCTACTTTTATTCTAAAAAAGATGTAAACCAAGAATCAAGGAATGCATACGTAAAATCTAATATTTGAGAAATCGAAATTTAACATTATTCATAGTCAAAGTATACCATCTTTATATATAACAACTATCCAGTCAACTTATTTGGCTATCAGATATTCAAGTCTTTCAAATTTTTAAAGGAAGAATAAACGAGCTACCATAATGAGTCAGACCATGGTCCATCTTGCCCAGTATCCTGTCTCTGACAGTGGCCCATACGAGAGCCTCAGGAGGCAATTATGGAGTGATCCACCAATCTTCTGCTCTTGGCTTCTCGTGGTCAGAGGTTTAGGGTTGCCCCAAACATGGGTTTGCATCCTGATCCTCTGGACTAATCGCCATTGATGGACCTATTCCTCATTAACTTATATAGTTCTTTTTTTTAAGCCAGCACACTTATTCGGCGGAATGTTACAACTCCTGTTCCATTCAAAAAAAGTAACACTTTGCAATGTATGCAAGTATTTTATTACTGATCATCTGAAGCAAGTGATGTTCACTGACTATTTTGTTTCAGTGTTGTAGTATTCATTCCTTTTCATTGATATTACAAGAATATAGATTTTTTTCAGAATAAAAAAAAGTATATTGAAAGACCTATTTTGTTTTACAGATATTTTGATGGGGTGTGTACAATATAGAAAATGTTTCCTTCCCCTGCAAGGTTTATCATGCACAATCAGGTCCGATTTTAATTTACAGAAGCAGGAGAAAAAAATTCCAATCAATTTCAGATAACTAGAATTTTATAAACCAATTTAACAGAATATGACACTAACATCACAGTCAGTTTCATCGTATTTCAGTATCTATGATGTAATACAAATTCTTTAGTTCTAGAAGATATTCACCTTCATTGGTGAGGGCTCCTTCAACATCATCTCTCCCTGGGGAGGAAGGAGGTGGAAGAGGTGGAAATGTTTCATCTTCTGTATCATCATACTCAGGAAGATCAAACAAGTTGTTTGCTAGTGGATCTATCATCTTCACAGTTAAGCTTTTTCTCCTAAAGAAGAGGATATTAAAAAGATGCACATCTTTTGTCTGAAGATACCTGCATTTTATGAAAAATATGTTTGCCAGTTAACATGACGGTATCAAAATATTAATTAGTCCAGGAGATTAAAAGGATGGAATACTTACACAGATAATGAAACTGTTCAGCCCTCCTGTCTGTCCCATAAATTGACTAGTCAAAAATTGTCCATCAAAACAGTTTGACAGAAATATTGGGTTGTTAACTAAACTATTTTATGACACGTGTCTGCTTTCCATGGAAAACATTGACTTCGTCAAAAAACGAAAACACTCTGGGGTAATTTTGATGGGGGGGGAGGGGAGAAAATCAACATTTCCGGGGGGGGGGGGGGGGGGGGGAGAGAGAGAATAACATAAATCTTTGTGCTTCAAAGCATAGTTTAACCACAAATTAACTGGGCTAGAATAAAACCTTCCCCTTTCGCCAAGCTATTCCATAATGACCCATTATGAGAGGGGTGGGGAACCTACAGCCCGCGGGCCGGAAGCCCCAGCCTCGGCTTGCCCCACTGCGGGGGAAGCTGGGGTTGCCAGGTCGTTAAAAGTCCGGTCGGCTCCACGCAGTTCCCGGAAGCGGACGGCATGTCCCTGCAGCCCCTAGGAGCAGGAGCGATCAGGGAAGCTCTGCAGGTTGCCCCCAGCGCCAGCTCTGCAGCTGTGGGGGTGCACCACGCAGAGCCTCTTGGCTGTGCCTCTGCCTAGGGGCTGGACATGGCAGCCGCTTCTGGGAGCAGTGAGGAGCTCCGGCAGGCAGGGAGCTTGCCTTAGTCCTGCTGCCAACCAGGAGCCAGCTGAGGTAAGCGCCACCCGGCTGGAGCTCGCACCCTGAACCCCGTCCCAGGTCGGAACCCCCTCCCACACTCTAACTTCCTCCTGGACCCCACACCCAGCACCCCCACCCCTCCCCGGTAGGAACCCCCTCCCTAACTCCCTCCCAGAGCCCTCACCCTAAGCCTTCTCCCTCACCCCAATCCCCTGCCCCAGCTGTGAGCCCGCACCCCAAACCCCTCGGCCCCAGCCCCACCTAGGGTGACCAGACAGCAAGTGTGAAAAATCGGGTGGGGGGGTATATGGAGCCTATATAAGAAAAAGACCCAAAAATCGGGACTGTCCCTATAAAATTAGGACATCTGGTCACCCTAGCCCCATCCCAGAGCCCACACCCAAACTCCTGCCCCAGCCAGGAGTCCCCTTCCACACCCTGAACCCCTCATTTCTGGCCCCACCCCAGAGTTTAGGGGAAGCCCCCAGTCTCTACATCACCGCCCAGGCTGTGTGTGTGGCCTGCTACTGATTTTTTTCTGTGGGTTGGGGGCCCTGATAGAAAAAAAGGTTCCTCACTCCTGCATTATGAGGATTTTAGTGCTTTCTTCTGAAGCAGTTAGTCCACTGCTAGAGACAGGTTGGACAGGACGTCAGCTTGACCCACTCTGGCAGTTCCTAATGTCCCCAAAACTAGAGAGAGAAATAGTTGGCCTCCGATTTCCTTCAGTTACAGGCATCTCAATCGGTACCTGCAGCAGCAGCAGGCATCTCCAGGCATGGGTGGCTGCTAGGACTACCCCTGTCCCTTTTACATGGATAGCTCAATGGTTTGAGCATTGGCCTGCCAAACCCAGGGCTGTGAGTTCAATCCTTGAGGGTGCCACTTAGGGATCTGGGGCAAAAATCTGTCTGGGGATTAGGCCTGCTCTGAGCAGGGGGTTGGACTAGATGAGCTCCTGAGGTCCCTGCCAACCCTGATAGTCTATGAGTCTCTGCCGGGGGTCAGCAGGCTCCGGACCGGACTACAGCTCAGCCGGCTGCGTGAGGCGGGCAGGCAACACGTTCAGCCCCGTCCCTCCTCAGTCGAGGTGCCCAAGAGATCCCACTCCCCTCTCGCCCCCAACCAAGGCAGCGGCGCTGCCGCCTCACCCGGAGCTCGCCTGGGTGCAAAGTACTAACGAGCCGGCCGGGTCCCGGACCGCTCAGGCCCCTCACAGAGGGAGCCGCGCCAGCCAGCCCCTCCCTTCCCAATCGGGGGGGAGGGGTGCTTGCCCCACCCGCGGAGGAAGAGCAGGGTCTGAGAGGACCGAGCCGCCATGGGAAGGGGGGGAAGGAACCCGAGACCCTTCGCCTGACAGAGCCTCCCCGAGGGAGCCCCTCTTTCACTCCGTCCCCGAGGAGACCCAGCTGAGCAATGGGGAGCGAGGGAAAGGCGCTCTGTACCTCAGGGCCGGCCCCAGCCTCGGCCTCGCACGGGCCCCTCCTCCACGTCCCGGCGGCTGGAAGGCAACTGCAGCGCGCCCGCCGCTCGCATGCTCCCGCTCCCCGACAGGACAGTCACACGGATGGAGGAGTAACGAGGAAAGACCGCGAGAACACGGTCCTGCTCGCGACCTCTGCCCTTCCCGTCAAAGCTTAGCGCGCCTCCCGCCCTCAGTAATGAAATCTCGCGAGCGTTCAAAAACACCGCGCGCGACGCGCTCTCGCACCCCACCGCCCCTTTGTGCTTAGGCCTCTCTTGGCGCCAAAAATCGCAACCCAACGGCCTCGCTCGCTCGGTTTGAGGCACTTGGCGCGTGGTGAACCACCACGGCTTCTCCCTCAGTCTCTAACTCCCTCCAGCAACAATTCGCCTTTTTGAATGACGCCTCACCTTAGCATTGTGTTGTTCTTGGAGACCCCTTATAGTCCGGAGTCAGTAATTCATTAATAATTGCTAATTGACCCCAAGCATTCAAAAATTAAAAGTCAAGCCTGCCAAAGATCATTAGCTTTGTTCCATAATACACTGTGAGCTCTTATTATTTTCCTTCTGGGTTTTGAGCCTTTTGGTCAGTCTCAGGTCATGGTTTCATGCATTTTCCATAAGTTGAGGGCTAGGAATCCACCCTCCCCCCAAAAAATTATCATATAATGACAGGCTTTCAGGACTTGGGGCTTTAAGGAATACTTAAGTTGCTGTGAGAATTAACAACACTGCATCAAATATAATACAATATAATTGAGCTACACTTAAAACAATAGGATTGAGGTTTTATCATATAGTTTACCATGGGCTGCCTATGTTGCCAGAATCACAAATAAAAAGTCACTTTTCAGTAGGTCTCAGAAATGTAAATTGCAAGTGAAAAAATCCTTTTCCAGTCTGTCTTTCATATTTCCATACAAATATGAGATAAATCTTGACATAATACATTTATCTGGTAATTTATTTTATTCTTAATATGACAAGTAAAACAACTCACTTTTCAATGAAGCAAAATAACATTTCTATCTTTCAGTTAAAAACTAATTTTACATCTGATACTGTAAAACTATTTCATCACCAACTGCCGGAACATAATATATAGGAAAGAATGTATGCAAAATACTAAGCAGACTATTTGTTTAGTAGCTGTTTGAAACTATTAAATTTAAAAGTCATACATGTTTGTCAGCATTCCTGTTTGCATTTATTTCTCTGCTTTCTAGATATCGTGTCAAATCTCTCTAATTTACTGCAGCTCACTAGTTTGAAAAGAAATATAGCCAAAGAAATATTAATAGTAACATGGCAAGTGTTGTGCTTACCAATCAAAATACATAATGCGCTTTACATAAAAATGTGTAGATATATAATAACTAATTCACATTTAATGTTGGTTTCAATAATGACATGTGAAAGGAAGCATAATTACAGAAAATAAAAATTTCATAAGCCATAGTAACACTGCTCTTTGTACTACAAATCTAATAAATAATAATAATAATAATATCCCTATTTACACATTAACAGAAAATCTCCACAAAAGAAGGAATCATGTGAATAATTTATATGTGGTGGTTTGAAATGTGAATATATTGTTGATTCAAAAGTGTTACTGTGTTGTATCTTTTTCTTGAGGGTTTCTTCGATTTGTAATATATTGTTGCCTAAGAATTAATTGGTTTTGGATTACTTAGGCTCTGCGAATAAAGGGATATATCTTTGATTGTGCCAAAGGTGGAAAAATTGTTTTTCCAACCATTTGCTTTTAAGTAGTGTGAGGATATCTTGATTTATTCAGAGCCTTGTCTACACTAGAAAACATTTATAATAATTTCTTGTGGTTCCTAATACTGATACAGCTGTATGAGGTTAGCAACACCAAGATCCCTAACAGACAGCTCCTTGGTATTGGGAGCTGTTTTCAGTACCATATTAATAGTGTTCCCTGTTTTCAGTTTTTACCAATTTCTAGCGATAAATTATCAGGTTTTTTATTAAAGGATTCAATTTTTACTGATCTACATCTGTTTATCAATCCACTCAGTATTTTTTGGGTACTTTTTGGGTACTTATTTTTGTTAAATACTAATGCTTTACGTGATTGTTGTGTCCTGCAGCTCCGAAATTGAAGCAGTTTCACAGAAAAACACACAACACATATATGGTGGTGGTCGGAAAAATCAAACAATGTTAATATCGTGCTATGGTTAGCTCACAAGGAGATGCTGCTCACCTATTTCTTTAAATCCATTTAGTGCAGCGCTGAATTTAATCAATCATGGGGTGAAAACGCAAATTTGTGTCTGAATGCCTATAAGAAAATCCCAGTGTAGGCAAAGCAGTTGTTTTCACATATATTAGCTAGTGAAGTAAACCCAGATTCCTTGCTAGCAGTTACCTTGACCTGCTCATGCATGTAAAACTATAAACTGCCATTTCCACACTAGGCTTATACAAAGCGTTAGTTACCACATTAGCTTACACATGGTTAAAAACTACCTTTTTACATAGTGTGGAAAACACCCTCAGGTTTCTGGGCAGATTTGATGGCATGGTCTGGTACAACTTGGTGCATATTTTATTGTCTTATTAACCTTTCTCCACAGAAATCATAATATGGCCCTTTGTTTACCTTGGTTATTAAAACAGGTAGCAGGGACACCTATTTTGGAGGCATAGTCCTTACTTTCATTAATGTCCATTTTCTATACATGCCCTATTTATATATTTTTTTAAATATTGGCAAACACGCCCATTTCTGTTTTGGCTTTTTTTAAGAGTTCTCATATACTTCTATCATAAACATTTTCTTCAAACTCAATCATTTTTCCTACATGTTAACGGTTTATTTTAAAAAAACAAGATGCATATATGAAAAAGATATAAAAAATTATATAATTTTAGTTTATGTTTTAAGAAAAAATGCATTTTAAAATCTATTGGAGTTTTTTCAGAAAGGATTAGCAGATTTGGAGCCAATTCCGATCTCAGTTACACTGATGTAAACTGATTAATTATAGTCTAACTGGTCTGAGAGTCACTTTGTGGTGCTAGATTCTGCTCTCAACACATTGCTGTAAATCTGGAGCAACTCTTCTGAAGATAGATTAGTGTAATTCAGAGTGGAATCTAGTCTACTGTATGTCCAACAGAATTTAAAGTTTCAGTGACTTTTAGCACTAGGCCTAACAGACTGGTTTAGCTATATATTTTTGCTAATTACTTGACTATTGACATCTTGGTAAATTAGAGACCAGTTCTTCAAACCTTTACTCCCATGAGCATTTTTATGCTAGTAATTCCACAGAAATTTGGGATTATGTATCTGAGTGAAGATTTACAGGATTGGACCCTCATTTATTGCATTTTTGAATGTCATTAACAAGTAAGAGTTAATAAATTGGTCTTGTTCCTGTAGTCAGATCAATGCAGAGTGCTAGTGCCTTAAATGAGACTCTGTGCAAAAATAATGGTCAGCCTATGCAGATCAGATTGAAGAATCTGGGCCATTGTTTTTAATAACTTGATATCTACATGCCATAATATTATTTTAATTTGTATATTCAGTCAATTCAGAATATATATTTATTTTCTCATTGTAACGCAAAGTGGCATATTATAGGCCTTAAAAGATATAGGGTTAATAAAACACATTTTCCTATTGCTTTACAATATTTCAGAATTGTGTTTGCAGTATAAGTATAGATTTTACCACAGGAGGGAGCTATCTCTTAATCAGATATTATCAGTTACTTGGGGCTGGGGAGAAGCTATATGTTTGATGATCAGACCTGTGAAAATGATAAGATAATTTTACCTTTTGTAATTTAAAAGGGGTAGGTAGCTAGGAGTGATATAATAAATTATTTTGTTATACAAAAACAAACAACATTGAAGGGAGAAAGTAATTCAAACACCAGGAGAAATTCTGCACCTGACAGGAAAAAACATTTCCTTATTGCACAATTAATTTTGTTTAAATCACCTTAATAAGCCAGGTGATTCTAGAGAAGAAGACAGAAAAGAACTCCAGTGGAGAAAAAAAGCAGCAGACTTTTAAAATCCCACTGGCAAATTTGTGTTACCATAATTAGGGCAGGCAGTCACTACAATTGCATGTGCAATAGCAGTATTTGTGTATACAATCAACAAGTTAGATATCTAAGTGTTCTGAAATTATCATAATTGACATCACTGGTTACTTGCACATGTAATTGGATTTGCACAGTTAAAAAGATCTGGCTAATTGAAAAGTCATTTTTGGTGCTTGGTGAACAAGTAGTTTTTGATATTCAGTGCATATTGAAGAATAATTCAAAGATTTAGACAAAATAAGACTGTGTTAAAACAATACATTTTCATAAGCAAATGTAAAGTGGAATAAATGGCTGCTGTAGAGAGAAGCTCTGGAGGATAAGAAAAAGGATTTGGAAAATAAAATGATGGCTCATGTATTATCAGAAGAAAAAGACACCCTGAAATGGAGGTGCTCCTAGAAACTAAGAGCTGTTTTCTGGATATATGAAAAAATAGGTTTAATAACAAAAGAAAAGCTAACAGTCACAGTGAGAAATGGCTACATCAATTTCTTGTGACAGATAAATCCACTTCTGTTCTAGAGAGAATTCTGTCAAATGGGTTATCAATGGTAAGCATATCCTATTCATGTTGAGGAGTAGTACATCTAGATCAAGAAGGGCCTGTGAGTCAGGACACTTGTCTTGAATTCTATTCCTGGCTAGGGCAAGTTATTTCACCTTTTGTGCCTTTGTTTCTCTATGTGTAAAAGAGGGGCCCGCCTCATCCAGGCCTTGGCTTTACTAAGAAAAAAAGTAAGCTTTTAACATGTTAGTTAACATGTAAAATCCTAGTGTAGCCAAGACAAGTTGTAATTTTAACATTTTAGTTGGTTGAGATAAACCCTATGCTCCCCACTGGGGTTTACCTCAACCAGCTAACACTTGTTAACACTAAAACTGGCTTGTCTACATTAGGATCCAGATCCTCAGCTGGTGTAAATTGACATAGCTCCACTCCTTGGCTTCAATGGTTCTGTGCCAATTTACACCAGCTAAAGATCAGGGCTAGGCTTTTAACATATATACCTTTTTTCCTAGTGTAGACAGGGCCTAAAAGACACATGAGGT